ATTCCCTGGCTTAGCTCCCTGGCTGGCACCGTGCTGCTGAGTGTTTACCTGACGTCTCCCCACAAGACGTTCAGACCTTCTCTACCCTCCCAAAGCTGAGATGTCATCTCTGCCCAGTATTCTTCAATCTCTCTCCATAGGCTCCTTCCCCATTGGCTCATAGACACACTCAGTCTTCTCTAGTGTTGGAAAAAGATGTTTTCTTCCTCTGCGAGTGCATCTGCCCCTGCTCACTGGTACTGGCCTTTATCCCTCCAAACTTAACTTTTAAAAGTCTCTGTGTCTAAATATGTGGCCTGCACGTCCTCACTAAATACTCTTAAACCCCTCATAATCCATCAGTGACCTCCTGGTTGTCAAAATCAGCACCTCGTCTTCCTCTGCATCTCTGTGATATTTAATCCCGTTGGCTGCCCCTTGTTTTAGAAGATGTCCCTTACCTTGGCTTCCTGGTCACAGTCTCATCTTGGATCCCTTCCTGCCTTTCTGAAATTCATTTACTATCTTTTTTCTCTTCCTACTCCCCAAATCCAGCATTCCTCAAGGCTCGGTCCTTGAATCTCTTCTTTCTCTCTCTCTGCATCTCTCTCCCTTGGTGTCCCCATAGCATCGTCCTCATCTTTACATCACGAATCTCATTTCTAGATGCCTGAGCTCTAATCCCACCTTTGTAATGACTGCTACATATCTCCATCCGGACGTCCCACTGGCACCTGACATTCACAATGTCCCAAACTGAACTTTTAAAACTTATTCTCTCCTATATTCCTGGTGTCTTTTTCTGGCGAGATCATTCCCCCAGTCACCTAAACGAAACCTGTAAGAGCTCCCACCCTGCCTAGCTCGCCCGGTTGAGAAGGCTCCAGCTACTGGTGGAGTCCGCCCTCTCTCTCCCTTCCCATCCCCCCAGGCCACGCCCTCTCACCTGCATTCCTGACACAGTGACTAATCTGTCTCTCCTCCACCTCCTCCTTCCCACCAACAACTGCCAGAGGGATTTGTGGCTACCATGGCCTGCAGAATAAAGCCCTCCGCCTCGACGACGTAACACTCAAGCCCCAGCCTCACCTCCCAAATAGATGCCCTCTGCCCCCACTTCCCTGTGCCCGCCCTTATCTGAGACAGAGCAAGGGTCCCCTCTCCTGCTTCTTGCTAGAGCCCCATACTTCTTCTTCTTCCTTTTTTTTTTTTTTGTTTTTTTGTTTTTTTGGTGGCTGGGCAGGACAGGGATCTGAACCCTTGACCTTGCTGTTGTCATCAGCACTGCACTCTAACCAGTTGAGCTAACCGGCCAGCCCACCACCCCATTCTTCTGGCTCCATGCATGGGCTCATCCTGTTCCCTTTCCCTGAAACTCCCTTCCTGCCATCCTTCCATGTCTGAATCCTACTTTCTTCGAGGCCTAGCTCCAATGTTCCCTCATCTGTAAAACATTTCCTGATCCACTCAACTCAAGTTAACCTCCATTTTCCCTCAATCCCACCTCCCTTTTCCTGCACCTCCCTCAGGACACTTCTGTGCATCTTATTTGCACAGGGACAGCTATGAGGTCCCCTTCCGGCCTGCAAGCACACCAGGACAAAGTGCCTATCTGAGTCCCCCTAGGACTGTACTTCACAAGTAGTAGGGTTGCCATAAATATGGGATGAGCTCACGAATGATAAAATGCAGCAACGTGCTTGAATTGAAAAGCTTTGCACACTTGAGCAGAATTGACACATCAGGGGTTGTGCCATGAGGAGGCTAGATTTGGTGTGGAGGAGAGGGCATGTGCCCACGACAGCAAGCTAAGCCTGGGTACCCCACCCCAGCTGCCCACAGCACGGACCCCACACTTCCCGCCAGGATGCACGAGCCCTGTCCTCATCCCCTCAGGCAGGGTCAAAGAGCAGAAACACCATCTTCCTTCTGTGTCCACAGGGATTAGTCTGTGTCCCAGTGCACCATACCCATGTAAGCACCAAATGGCCTCATCTGGACCTCCCTCAAGGGAATAAAGGAAAGAGCACTGGCCAGGGAGTGAAGAGACCTGAATTCCAGCTCTGGCCCACCATGAACTAGCCATGTGACCTTCACTGTAACACCCGGATGTGGGACAAACCAGCACTTCCTAAACTGCAGTTCCAAAGGCCACCCAGCAAGGTGTCACTCTTTCAGGGGGGGATGCATAGGGATGCATAGTTCCCAGACTAGCTCCCTATGGGCCCGTCCAGCCACGCCAAACTAGGAGTCAGGGGGCGAGCTGGGGATGCAGTTTCAGGGGGCTGGAAAGGCTTCTGGGGTCTGCTCTCTCCCCAAGCCCCCTGAGCTCACCACCTTCTTGTAGCAGCCCTCCCCAGGGTGGATCATGGCAGCAGGGCTGCCCTGTCCTCTTTCCCAGCCTGGGGTGGGTGAGGAGCAGGTGGATAAGGGGCTCCCTGATGGTCAACCGGCACCCTCGTCTCTCATGGGTGCTCACAGATGGGCAAGCCCGGGTGCACAGAGCAGATTGGCGGTTCTGCACACCAGGGCTGGGCTGGACGTGGAGAAGGAACGATGATGAACACACACAGAATGCCAGTCCCTAGTCTCCGTATCAAGCAACAGGAAGGACCACAGGCAGCCTGCAAAGATGTCCCAAATTCAGCCTTTAGCAATAAATGCCCAAAGAAATGGTTCCTCAGCACCCCGCACCCACCCCACTATCTGGGGAGTCAGGGGGCCAGAAGCACGGCCCTTATCCCTCCCCTTTCCACTCACCCAGCAGGCAGAGGGGGCTAAGAGTCCAGGCCGGGTCCGTCTGGGAGAGGCAGGTGGGTAGAGGAAGGGAAATCTTGGGTGGGTGAAAACAGCTGGCCTGTGTTCCTGCCTGACTCGACTCTAGATCTCCTTCCCCCACCTGGACAATGAGGAGACTGGCCAGCCATCTCTAGGATCCTTTCCCCGAGTCCTTGAGCAGGCCGATCCCCAAGCCAGGTCCCCCAGACAGAGGAGGACCCTGCAAATTACAAAGGACTGGAGGCAGCAGATTGGAGGTGGGGACTGGGGAGGTGTCTGGTGACAGGGGCCTGGCTGCTCCATCTGAGGCCTGGCACAGGTGCTGGCGATGGATAGCCAGGGGCGGGGGGGCACTTGGTCTCCTCACAGGGAGATGAAGAGCGGAGGCTGCACAACCATCACCCCTGTCCAGAGCAACCCTGGAGCAACATGGGGGACAGAAGAAGGAAGAGAAGCTCTGCAGGGTCCCCACCCTGGGAGGTGGGCAGGAAGGGGGTTAGCGAGATGGGGAGGGAAACAGGATAGGGTGGTGGAACTCAGGAGCAAAGACACTACCTTTGGGTAGGGTGGCATTTACCAGTGGCACAATTCTGGGGGGAAACCAGCCACTAGGAAGGACTGTCACTTTAGAGGTATAGGGAAGCCACCTTGTGGGTTGGAACCTTCCAGTTAGTGCAGGAGGAAGCCATCCTCTTGGGTATACAATCTACAACTGGAGCAGAGCAGTGATAAAACCCACAGTCCAAGTGTGAGCAGGATTGAGGGGGAAGGGGAGCTTCCATACTGGGAGATGGTCCTGGGCAGACGCACACTGCAGAGCCCAGGAAGGGAGGGTGCCAAGATAGGACCTTTGCACAAAGCACCTGCCTGCCTCCTTTCCCCAGGGACAGAGCCTCCAGCAAGGCCTGTGGAACATCCCACATGTCCAGTTCCCTCCGTGGGAGGAAAGATAAAGGATGTCCCTAAAAGGCTAAAAATTCCTGGGGCCCTGCTGTGTGGAAGCTGCTCGAGGTGGCAGCTGGGGCTGGGCCCAGCAGAGGAGGGGCTGCGAGAGGGAGAGGGTGGCTTGGGGCTCAGGATCCAATTACACGGCTGTTTCCATACTTAGCCACCTGACAGCCACTTGGAATACTCACTACTCCAGCCACAGCAGCCCCACAGAGCCCAAATTAACTCAAGGACAGACAAGGGCAGGGCCCAGCAGCACATGTGAGGGCTGTAGCCCCCCATCCTATGGGCCTGGTCCCTGGAGGAATGGCTTTTGTTCTCCTTGATGGGACTGTATCCTCACAGCCTCTGTTCTCAAGGGACAGAACCTCAAAGACTTGAGAGACTGAACTCTGGGCCCCCACAGCCCCATGTGCAAAGACAGGGCTGGGCCAGGTAATGACTGCTGCCGAGTCATAAAAAGACCAAGTGGGGAGTCCTCGATTCCTAGGGGGATCCTCAGAGCACCTCCCTGAAGCATCCCCAAGGCAAACCCAGCTCCAAGAGTCTTAGGAGCCAGAGAGGTGGCAAAATGATCCGGTGTCCGCTCCACAACCTATAAATAACCCCCATGCTGCAACCCAAGCCACCAGCTCTGCTACGAAGTGCTGAGACGCCAAAGGAAAGCCCTGCATGCAAAGCTGAGCCCCGTTCTGATGAAAGCCCCCGCCCCGCACAAGCTCCACGCCAGAACAGGTCCCAGTCCCCTTCCAAACCCCATGTCCAGTTCTGTTTCCAGCCCAACCACTGACTCAATTTCCAGTCCTATCCCACACCAATTCCCACACCATCCCACTATTCCCAAAACGCTCCCCAGCTTTGCCCATGGTGTCCCTCTGTCCTGCGTCATGCAAGCCCGGGTCTCCAGCTGGACTTAAGGCCTCCACCCCATCTCCCACTGGGGGAGGGTCACCCGAATGACCTCCAGCTCCAAGATGGTGTTCTGTGGTCTGTCTCAGAGGCCCCTCCAGTCTTGACTTTTGGGGTACCTTTTCCCAGCATCTACAGGCCAGACCCTCCTCTCTGGCCCCTGGCCTAGGCCTCTCTCGGTTGCTGCTTCTTCTTCCTCTGGCCTTCGCCCCGGTCCCTAACTGTCCCCCAGTTCCCCTGGGCACCTGGCTCTTTCTCCATGGCCCAGGGCCCTGGAGAGAAGGGTGATTAGGTGAGACCAGCCATCCACCCACCATGACACAGAAAGCCCCAGAGAGGGCTGAGGGCACAGTGTGGGCCTGGACAGTGACAGGGTGGGGGCCTACCTGCTTGTCCCGAGAGCAGGAGCGAGGCCACGAAGCAGCAGAGCAGGACCAGCGCCCTCATGGTGACTGCCAAGAGAGGCCAGCTGCTCCAAGCCTCTATTTATACAGCGGCGCGGGTGGCAGCATCAGGCAGCCGCGGGGGGAGAAGGGTTACACAGTCACTAGGGCAACTGGGCGGACGTGATGGGGAAGAGGCCCAGACCCCAGCAGGCTCGCGGAGTCCCAGTGGCTGCTGTGACTGTCCCAGCTGCCAGGCCCTGGAAGGCAGGGCCCAGGGCTGGACTCTCCCCGCTAGCATCGGGGGATTACATGGTACGGATAACAGGGCTGGGGTAACAGAAGTAAAGTGAGGCAGCCTCCAGGCTAAGGTCTAGGAGTTAGGAGCCCGAATCATCCCAGAAGTTGCTCTAACTTGACCTTAACGTCTAGGGCAGGGGCCTTGACATGCCTCCATTGGAAGGAAGAAGTTGTAGGGCAAATAAGAGGTCCTATTTGATGGGCACTGATGCATGCTCCGGCTGACGGTCAGTTCAGGAAAACCTGTGCCCCCTGCCCTTTGAGGTTGAAGGCTGGGAGCCTGATTTTCCTTGGCCTCTGGAAGAGAGAGAATGCTGACCAGAGGGAAAAGGGGACACCAAGTGGGGCTGGGGTTGGGATGTAAGTCGGAGAGTGGAGCAATAGAGATCCATTTCCAATGGTGCAGGGGTTCCAGAAAGTTCTGTTGCCTCTGCAAAGTGCTGTTTGATGCAATTTCCCTAGGAGCGTGTGGCAGCCCCAAGAGTCAGAAGCTGAGAGAATGCAGCCTCTGGCTTATCTGGCCAGCGGTGACAGTGACAATGGGAAGGGAGGAGGTAGCAGTGGGCCATGGAGGAAATGAACTCAATGTAAATTACACATCTGTTATGTGTGAGATGCTTGACATTTTCTTAAACAGCCCTATGGAGGTATGTTGACATACAACCAATGACATGTGGGTAAAGGGTGCAATTTGATAAATCTGACACAGGTATTTAATTGTGCAGCCATCACCACAATCAAGATAGTGACCAGATTCCTCACCCCCCAATTTTTCCTCATGTCCCTTCAGAGACCCTCTGTCCTACCCCTTCCCCCCCATCACTGATCCGTTTTCCATCAATACGCACCAGTTTGCATTCCCTGGATTTTGCTATACATGGAATCATACTGTGTGTTCTTTTTTATCTGCTTATTTCACTCAGTGAAATTATCCTGAGATTTATCAATGTTGTAGTGTGTATCAATAATGCATTTCTTTTTATTATTAAGTAGCGGTCCATTGTATGGACAGACCACAGTTTGTTATTCAGTCACCTATTGAACGTGTGGGTTGTTTCCAAGCTTGGGCTATTACAAATAAAGCTGCTATGAACATTTGTCTACAAGTCGATTTTTTGAAAATCAACTGACCATACATGTGTGAATCTATTTTTGGACTATAATCTGTTCTATTGATGTATGCGTTTATCCTTTTGCTAATACACTGGCTTGATTTTCTGTGACCTCCTAATAAGTCTAGAAATCAGGTAGTACGAATACTCCAACTTTGCTTTTCTCTTTCAGAATTCTAGACAGACAAAATTCTACTTCTTCTGCACCTCCACATGAATTTTAAGATCAGTCTGTCAATTTTTTTTTTGAAAGCCTTCTTGGATTTGAATTGGGATTACAATGAATCTATGGATCAGTTTGAAGAGAACTAACATGTTACCAATTGAGATGGTTCATATTATGTGTCAACTTGGCTGAGCTATGCTGCCATTTGTATGGTCAAACACCAATCTGGATGTTGCTGCGAAGGTATTTTTAACATGTAAAACAGCAGACTTTTAGGAAAGCAGATCACCCTTCATAACGTGCACGGGCCTCATCCAGTCAAAGGCCTTAAGAGAAAAGACTGAGGCTCCCTGAGGAGGAAGAAATTCTGCCCTCAGACTGACCATCATCAGACTCATCATCATGACATCAACTCTTGCTGGAACTTCCAGCCTGCCAGCATCCCTGCAAATCGTGGACTTGCCAGCTCCCACAATTTCTCTCTTTAAATGTATGCTTTATTGGCTCTGTTTCTCTGGAGAACCCTAACACACCAGTAATGAATCTTCCAATCCAAATGCATGGCTTGGGGAGGGTCTTGCTGTAGGGGAAGAGGTAACGGTTGGACACAGGAGAGAAAAGGGACTAAAAGAAAATGAAGTATCTACTCTGTGCCAGGTGCCTTATGTGTAATGCGTGGTGGGCATATTCTCACCATTCACAAAGAAAAGACTAAGGGTCAGGGAGGTGAAGTAATTGTTCAACATCACTCAACTAGGAATGGAGTTACCTGGATTTGAGCCCAGATCTGTCTAACTCATAAACCCATGACTTTTCCCATCAACCTAAGTTAACACCATCAGGGTCAGAGAGGTATTACCACATCAGGAAAAGGGGGCCGAGGTCTATGCGTCTGAAGGCTGACCCCATGTCCAACGGTTACCTCTTTGAGGCTGAAGCATCATAGCAAGCTACAAGAAGACAAACCCAGGTGGGCAGGGAAGGGTGAACCCAACCCTGCTTAGGTTGAAAGACACCCCATTTGTATTACCGAACAGATCCTTGCACATCCATGTTCATAGCAGCACCATCCACAGCAGCCAAGAGATGGAAGCAAGCCAAGAGTCCATCAGCAGATGAGTGGGTAAACACAATATGATATATGCATACAATGGACTATTAGTCCACCATAAAAGGAAATGAAACTAATACATGCTACAACATGGATGAACCTTGAACATGTCATGCTTAAGCGAAACAAGCCAGACACAAAAGGACAATGTATGAGTTTGCTGGGGCTTCCATAACAAAACACCACAGATTGGGTGATTTAAACAACAGAAATTTGTTTTCTCACAATTCTGGAGGCTCAGAGTCCAAGATCAAGGTATGAGTAGGTGTGCTTTCTTCTGAGACCTCTCTCCTTGGCTGTTAACAATGTCTTCTCCCTGTGTCTTCACACGGTCATCCCTCTGTGTGTTGTCTGTGTCCTAATCTCCCCTTCTTATAAGGACACCAGTCAAATTGGATTAGGGCCTACCCCAATGACCTCATTTTAACTACCTCTTTAAAGGCCCTGTCTCCAAATATAGTCACATTCTGAGTACTGAGAGTTAGGTTTCATATGAATTTTGAGGGGGACACAATTCAGCCCATAAGAGATAAATATTGTATGATTTCATTTATATGAGCTACCTAGAATAGTCAAATTCACAGAGACAGAAAGAAGAATAGCAGTTACCAGGAGCTAGGGAAGGAGGGACAAAGAGTTAGTGTTTAATGGGTACACAGTTTCTGTTTGGATGAAGAAAAAGTTCTGGAGATGGATGGTGGTGATAATTATGCAACATTGTGAAGGTACTTAATGCCACTGAACTGTACATTTAAAATGATTAAATGCCGGGCCGGCCCGGTGGTGCACTGCTGCAGTGCACCGCTTGGGAGCACAGCGGCGCTCCCGCCGAGGGTTCGGATCCCATATACAGACCGGTTCCCGCTCACTGGCTGAGCGAGGTGCGGGTGCAACACCGAGGGTTGTGATCCCGTTGCCGGTCCTGGTCCGGTACGGGCGCGACACTGAGGGTTGCGATCTGTTGCCGGACACGAAAAAAGACAAAAAGGAAAAAAAAAATGATTAAATGCCAATAACATTCTTCAGAGAAATAGAAAAAACAATCCTAATGTTCATATGGAACAAAAAAAGACCCCAAACAGCAAAAGCAATCTTGAACAAAAAATAAAATAAAGCTGGAGGCATAACACTACCTTTTTTCAAACTATACTACAAAGCTATAATTATCAAAACACCATGGTACTGGCATAAAAACAGACACTTGGACCAATGGAACAGAACAGAGAACCCAGAAATCAACCCACAAACCTAAAGTCAACTGATCTTCAACAAAGCCACCAAGAACATACACTGGGGAAGAGACTGCCTCTTAAATAAATGGTGCTAGGAAAACTGAACATCCATATGTAGAAGAACAAAACTAGACCTGTACCTCTCACCATACACCAAAATCAACTCAAAATGGATTAAAGACTTAAATATAAGACCTGAAACTATAAAGCTCCTAAAAGAAAACACAGGGGAAACACTTCAGGAAGTAGAACTGGGCGAAGATTTTATGAATATGACCCCCAAAGCACAGGCAACAAAAGGAAAAGTGAATGGGATTATATCAAACTACTATTACTATTTACTAAAAGTAAACTATTATATCAAAGCTTCTGCACAGCAAAGGAAACAATTAACAGAGCAAAAAGACAACCTACAGAATGGGAGGAAATATTTGCAAACTACGCATCTGACAAAGGATTAATATCCAGAATATACAAGGAACTCAAACAGTAAAAAAACAAATGACCAGGTTAAGAAATGGGCAAAGGAGCTGAATAGGCATTTCTCAAAGGAAGACATACAAATGGCCACAGACAAATGAAAAAATGGTCAACATCACTCAGCATCAGGGAAATGCAAATCAAAACCATATTAAGGGCTGGCCCATGGCTCACTTGGGAGAGTGCGGTGCTGATAACACCAAGGCCATGGGTTTGGATCCCTATATAGGGATGGCTGGTTAGCTCACTTGGGAGAGTGTGGTGCTGACAACACCAAGTCAAGGGTTAAGATCCCCTTACCGGTCATCTTTAAAAAAGAAAAAAAATTAAGATACCATCTCACCCCAGTTAGACTGGCTATTATCAAAAAGACAGAGAACGACAAATGCTGATGAGGCTGTGGAGAAAAGGGAACCCTCCTACACTATTGATGGGGCTGTAAATTGGTGCAGCCATTATGGAAAATGGTATGGAGATTCCTTTAAACAACTTCAGATAGAACTGCCATAAGATCCAGCAATTCTGCTGCTGGGTATATACCTAAAGGAATGGAAAGCACCATGTCGAAGAGATACCTGCACCCTCATGTTTATTGCAGCTCTATTTACAACAGCCAAAAGTTGGAACCAACCTAAGTGTCCATCATCAGATGACTAGATAAGGAAAATGT